GTAGAAACCCTGTCTCGAAAAACAAACAAAAAACCGTACAGACAGGAGCAAATGTCTCTGTTCCTGGAGTTGTGAGAGCTCAGCCGACAGAGATGAGGCTGGGACCCCAGGGAAGAGGAGCAGAGGGTGAGAGCCAGCCTCAGTCTACAGGAAGGAACCACGATTGGCAAACTGGAAGCAGAGGGGATGGTTTCAAACCAGCTCTCAACCAAGAAGTGAAAACCTGTAAATGTGGACTCAGAGGGAAGGATGTCTTCGTTGCCTGATGTCCAGTTTTGCCATGGTAAGGAGACAACAGAGAGTCTTAAATTGGTGAATTAAGACATAGAGAGGAGAGGCTGGAGAGACGGCCCAGGGGTAAGGTGCCTGCTGAACAACCAAGAGAACCCGAGTTTGAATCCCTGGTACCCATGTGAAAGTGGGGTATAACAGTCCTGGGGAGCCCAAACAGGCAGGCGTGTGTCTGTAACATATCCACGTCAGTGGGTTACTGGGGTCAGCAAGTCCTTGGACATCCTTTAAGGGAAGTCCTGTAAACATCCAGATTTTACCATTCCTCTGGTTCTCTTGTGGTGTGTTCTTCCCCACCCACTGGCGCTGGGCCTGAACCCGGCAGGGCTTGTGCTTGCTAAACAATCTCACTTTCCAACCCCTATTCCTCTGTTGGATTCTGAATTGTCAGTCACCCGAACACGACTTTCTCTATTTTCCCCTCAAACCTGGAGTTGTAACGCAAACTCTTCTGGGAGAGGCCAGCAAATTCCAGAATTTCTTTCCTGCAAAATACAGAGAGGGGCTGGAGAGATGGCTCAGTGGTTAAGAGCACTGGCTGTTCTTACAGAGGACCTGGGTTCAATTCCCAGCACCTACATGGCAGCTCACAACTGTCTGTAACTCCAGTTCCAGGGAATCTGACATCTTCACACAGACATACACGTAGGTAAAATACCAATGCAAACAAAATAAAAATCAATTGATAAAAAAAAATACACAGAGAACTGGAGTTGGAGAGAAGGCTCAGCTGTTAAGAGTGCTCAATGCTCTTCCAAGGGGACAATCCCCCACCCCCCCACCCCAGACCCAGGTTGGGCAGTTTACAACTCCCTGTAACTCTAGCTCCAGGGCATCCAGTGCCCACTTCTGGCCTCTGCAGGGGCTGTACACATGTGGCATACATTCCTACAGACACACAAATAACGTTTTTTTTAAAAATACACAACTTAAAGTACAATGTGGAGCCAGGAGAGACCCTCAGAGTAATCTCCATTTTAGGAGTCTCCAGTGGCTAATGTCGACAATTTGATAGGCTCTAGAATCGCCGAAGGGGGGGTTCTCGATTGAGTTATTTGAGATAGGCAGATCTACTGTGACTGTCCATGGCAGCATCCCACTGGCTGGGCTCTGGACTGCATGGAGAGCAGCTGAGGTCATGCGGCTCTGAGGTCATGCAGCTCTGCTTCCTGACTGTGGCTGCAATGTGACCGGTTGCTTTAGGCTCTTGCCGCCACACTGCCTCCAACAGTGGTGGACTGTACCTTCCAACGGTGAGCCACCACCATAAGACTGTCCTTCCTTCTGTGGCGTAGGTAAGGTGTTTTTGTCACAGTTGTGAGAAAAATAAGTAACGGAGGGTGTTCTCTGAGATAGAAGTGGTACCCATAAGTCAGAGTGTGTGTTCTGCTTGCTGCTCCTGCAATGGTTCCCTCAGAGTCTTAACATCCAAACTCCAGAGGCAGAGACAGGACAAGCTAAAGCTCCAGTCTAGCCTGGGCTACCTGGTGAGTTCAAGGCCAGCCTAAGTTACATAACTAGTACTTTGTAGCTCAACGGTAGAGCACAATCTATTGTGCATGAAACCCAGAGTTTACTCCATAGCACTGCAAGGTCCCAAGTAGCCCAAGCTAGCCTCAACAATCGTTATAAAACTGAGGGTGGCCTTGAGTTCCTGATTCTTCTGCCTGCAGTGTTTCCAAATGCTGGAATTCTAGATATGAGTCTCCATGTCTGGCTCACAGTTTCTCTGTGTGCATCTGTATGTAATATATGCATGTGTGTGCTTGCATGTATGCGGGTGCTGTGTCGTGTGTGTGTGTGTGTGTGTGTGTGTGTGTGTGTGTGTGTGTGTGTGTTGTGTGTAGCTCAGAGGCTGATGCCAGTGTCTTCCTGTAGTACTCTCTCTACCTTGAGTCTTTGAGACAGAGACTCTCAGTGAACCTAGACCTTAGTGATTCTGCTTGTGGCTGGCCACCCAGCCTTGGGGACCTGCAAAGAGCTTGCCTAGCATGTATGAAGCCCTGGATCCAATCCCCCAGCACTACATGAACCAAGCTTGATGGCATTCCACCAGCTGAGCTACATCTCCAACTCTCAAACTATCTCTCAGTGTTGATCCGTGGTGCAGTTGTGAACCCACCTACAATCTATCGATTCTGTTGATTGACTAAGCTGGGAGCTTAGTCCTCATTCTCAGCACCTAGAACTTTGCTTAAAAAGCAAAACTGGCCTGGTATGACGCTGTGCATCAGTAATCACAGTGTCCCACGAGGCTGAGGCAGGAGGATCATTCAAGGCCATTATATCAGTTACTTTTCTACTGTTTAGATAGACACCATGACCAAGGTAACTAATATTAGAAAGAGTTTATTTGGGCTTATGATTCCAGAAGGACAAGAGTCCATCACGGTGGGGAAGTGGCAGGCAAGGTGGCTGGAGCAGCAAGACGGAAGCTCTCATCATGAAGCACGTGCACAGAGCAGAGTGCAAACTGGGGGTGCCTCGGGTCTTTCTCAACAGCCCCTCCATACACTTCCTCCACAGAGCCGCACCTCCTAAACCTCCCAAACTGTACTGCCACCTGGGATCCAAGTGTTCAAATGCCCAAGACTATGGGGGACATCTCATTCAAACCACCATAGCCATCCTGGGCTACATAATGAGTTCAAGGCCAACCTGGGCTACATATATGAGTCTCTCTCAAAAAACCAACCACACAAACAAAGGACTGAGGAAGTAGCTCCTGGTAAAGTGCTTGCTCTCTAAGCACAAGACCCTGAGCGTGCTAAGAGCACCCAGGTGAAAAAGCTGGGTGTCTGTAACTACAGAGCTTGGCGGGGG